GTAATATTATATATATGTATATATATAATTTAACCATGAAATAAATACACTTATAACAAGATAACGAAAGAAACTAGCTGGACAGCAATACAGAAAAATAGGTGCATGGGTAGACAGATGGCAGGAATTTTTTCATATAGAAGTGAGATAATGGTAGTCTTGTTTTTAGTTAATAACTACTTAGTTTGTGTGTGCTGAATTATTTTTGATGACTGAATTATGTTCTGTTGTACTGATGGTTCAGATTATTTAAAATAGAAGTTTTTACAATGAAGGGGTGGCCTTGAGTTTATTGTCAAAGGGTGTAAAGAATGAGTAACAAGTTCCCATGTTCTTGTTGTTAGCCAGAACAGTTACTTGAGGGAGGATGGCCCACTCTCCTGTCTCTTCCACTCTGGTTTTGTTTTCCGAGATAGGGCCTCATCAGGTAGCTCAGGCTGGTCTTGAATTTACAATCTGCTTGTCTCTGCACCTCAGCACTGAGATTGTAGGCTGAGTTTCTGTTACTGGGCAGATCTGTCCATTTCTGTTCTTTTTTGCCTTTTCCTGCCATTGTGACACAGAGGGAGAAGGCTGGTCTTGCCTGTTATGACTCTGTAAGTTGTATCTCAGAGAGAAACCATCTAACCATTTACCCTTGTCCCTCTTTCTTCACAGGAGGCTAACTGAAACTCTGGACAGAAACCATTTTGAAATCATAATTCCAGAATTCTGAAATCAGGGCTAATTATTGGCTAATTAGACTTTTTTCATAACAACTCATGGATCTGCCTCTTGCATGTTTAACTCAGAAAGTCTAGTGTAGTTTGTCTTCCATGAAATAAAAATCCATGGCTACAAATCTTATCCTCTCACACATAGTCCTTGAAGCAGCTGGTATGAAGTTTTACATTACATTTTTCAATCAGCCAGCTGCAGAAATGATCACTGTAGAAGCAATAGCTGAACTGATGGAAATGAGTGCCATCAACAGGGTCAATGCTGGAACACAGATGAATCAATGGAATGCATGGATTTTGCTACATTTCTAACCACTGTCATCTTAACTAGTTTTTGTTTATCAACAAGATGTCCTACTGTACAGGGCTGATATAGGAATTAGTGTTGCCATCAGGAGGAAATGGCTCAGAATTTAAGAGTGCTTGCTGCTTTTTCAGAGGACATGAGTTTAGTTCCCACACCAGGCAGCTCACAACCCCCGGGAATGAGAGGTCTTTAGTTCCCTGAGGCATCTTAGGACTCTCAAGAACAAAATTTTGAAGAGTAAATGCAAATGCAAACCAAGTTCCTTTATATATAAGATTAAATTTTATGTAAACATAACAAATACATTAAATATTTTAAAAGCTAAACATATAAAGGCCAAGTGAGTTAGTACCTGCACACAATACACAGAACAAATCGTGTTGCACATTAAGTGTATTGTATTATAATGTATTTACCCACCTAGCTACTTATCGGCTTATTATCTACAGTATCTATCTACCTATCATCTATCTATTTCTATTTATTATCTAGTTATACTTATCATCTGTCTACCCATTCATCTCTGTGATCAGTCTATTTATTGTTCTATCATCTATTGAGTGCTTTATATGGAATATACCATGAAAGAAAGAATAGAAGTAAAATTCACTTTAGAAGTGAAATGAAAGAAAAAAGTATGATGTATTCTAAAAAAGAAGCAAGATTAAAAGTGTATATTTAAGGGTATATATTACAGATATCATGGAGAGGCCATGTCATCTTTCTTAGGAGAAAGTGCCAAAGAGAGAGCACATTTTCTTAGAGGGAAGAAGGACATAATGGCCAGATGGGTGGGTCTATGCATGAAACTGCCCCATAGGCCATTTTAATGGAGAACTCAAATTCATTATTTGAAGTATCATCAATTTTAATACAATTTATTTTTACTCTTCCAAGAGATTAAAAAATATTGTCATTTAAAAAATGAATTAAGATTGTGTAAGATAATTTCATTAATTCTATGGAATTAGTTTTTATATAGCCAACAAAATGTCCTCCTTTTGTTAACTGATAGTTGCACCTTCCAGAAGGACTCAAACAAGATTGCTCTTTGTTCTATACCACTAAGGATGACAGGTGTACCTAGTTGTAACCTTCTCTTTCCAAGCTGAACACCTTCAGTTCACTCATGACCCTTACAGGAAATTTTTTTCCATTCCAGTCAGATTTCTGATTTTTTTTTTGTGTGTTAAGATTTGATAACACATTAAATTCGTGATCTCAACTCTGAGTAAATATTGTCTTTGAAATCTTTACACATTGGGTTTGCTCTTCTATTGGCAATTATTCTTGATTTTTTCTAAGCCAAGAAAGATAACTTGTCCTAGGTTTTCCTGATTCATGTTTTCTTTCTGTAATTGTGTTTTTGTTTTGCTTTTAGAATCTGTTTTCCTTATGATTCCCTTGGCTCATTCTATAGGAAACTATCTTGAAGTCACTGATACTGTGGAAAGTCTGAACAGTGTGGGATCCTGTAATAAAACAGAGAAGCACAGTTCTAGGTGGAATATTAAACATGGAAGACAATTAGTAACACTTAGAATTAATAAATGAGGAGAATAAGCCATTGTTTCAAAGAACCTGAAGAAATTATTGGTTTCCTTTGAAGAACACAACCTGTTCCTTAATCTAATCCAGATAGTCTAGCTGAGGCTCAGGTAACAAATTAGATATGGATGGGAAGTGCCCAACCCATGGTCTTCAAGGTGACATTGTTTCTTTGGGTCTTATAAAGGCTGTGCTGACGGTTGTGTAGCATCAAGGAATAGAGACACCATGGCTGCCTCCAAGTTGCTTCTGGTTCTGCTTTCTATGGCCCTGCTGGCCCTGACCTCAGCTCAGACGGCCAAAGAAGGTAAGAGGAGAAATGGGGCTAAAATTCATGGAAAAGAGTACAGTTGGCCTTCTTCTTCTTAAGAAATTATCTAATACCCAGAGAATAGGCCAATAAAAGGGGAGGCAGCTTTAGTTTCTGTATCACTTTAACTGATGGCAAAGATATGTGTCTGAAAATCTGGGTGTATATTCTAAGACAGCATCTTTGCATTATGATGTTTACTATTTAAACATTCATAGATTTTATACACTCACTCTCTATGTGAATAGGGTGAAATGTTATAATTTACCTGGAAATTTTGTTTTCTTTCCAACAAATAACTAAACATTTAGAAATATTAAGAATTTTATTAAATATTCATGTTTAATGTAAGTTTCATTATTTGGTTCTACTGCTTCCCAAATTCACTTGCTTCCCATTCAAAGCATTGAAGTCCAATTAGAATGTTTGTTTACAAAAATCTGAGCAACTCTGAGTGAAAATATATATTAGAAGTTTAGCAAAATTTGGGTACCTCATGATACCATCAAAACAATCTGTGGGCAAACAAAAAGGAGTTTCTTGTTAATGTGATGAAAGAAAGGGCCACTTTTTTTGTGATTCCTGGGTAAAAGCAAGAGGCAAACTGAAACATTGAAAAATTAAAGTTCTGAGTTCTGGTTGGTGGAATGAGCTCTTTGTTAAGATTGGGTAAAATGTATAATTTATGGAGGATCTATGAAAGGAGTTATAGATAATAAACAATTATGGCTTCAGAGAGTTGAACAGGCTTGTGTTTGATTAAAAGGGCTTTGGACAATTTCCTGAAATAAGCAATTATTTTTTGAAAAGCTTGTCTACTGGGAAAAGCTTCATGGGGTGTAAAGTCTTGTTAGTGTAGAGTGAGTCACACGGTCATTGATGGTTTGATTCTCAAGTCATATCTGTTCAGGAAATCATAGCATTAATGGGAGGAATTCAATAGTTGCTTGATTTCCTCTTTACTCCTTGTTCAGTCCCTGCTGGGGACTATGGTTCTCTTTTGGAAATGACAGTTCATTGCATTGAAGCCACATATACATATGTTTTGTGTATAATATATTACCTTAATTTCCCTAGCAGTCTCTTAGGCATTTTCTTTTTATATCTGTATTTTCTTGACTTATACAAGTGCACACTTGGAATCTACTAATGCAAATCTTATATTTATTATATTTCTCTTTTAAAATTCTAGATGATGAAAATTCTCTTCAAGGGCAACGTAAGTCTCTATTTAAGGCTGTGCTTCTTTTTCCTTTACAACATGTCACACTTTGACTTTTGCTTACATTTTTGTCATTTAGAAGTTCTAAAAATGATGTAGGAAGTCTCAAAAGGCAAGAGAATGGAAACTCCCCCAACGTTTTAGTAGTCCTCAGTCATAGTGTCAAATGTGAGCCCGCATTTCACATCCTGTCTCCTGTGTCAGTGAGACAGCATCTGAACATCAGCAGAACACAGGCACACCATTCATCTGCAAAGGGTTTTCTCTAAGTAGTCCTACAGACCATGGCTAACAGTGAAGTAGCACAAATCTCTTCCATTTACAAGGGTTTTGATGCCATTGATATGTGTCTTAGTTTCCATTGTCGCAATAAAATACCTTGACCAAAAGGCACGTTGAGAGGAAAGGGTTTATTGCATTTATGTTTCCAGGTAACAGTCCATCACAGAGGGAAGTTAGGGCAGGAATTCTAGCAGGGCAAGAACTGAGGAACATGAGGCAATGAGGAGGCCAAGGAGGAGGAGCATGGTTTACTGAGTTGCTCCTTAAGGCTTGCTCAGCCTGGTTTCTTATACACCACATATTCCATGGTATACTTACAGACAGTGAGATGGCCCCTCCCCCTCAATCAGTAATCAAGAAAATGCCCCACAGTCCTGCCTGCCTGCTATAGCTGGATCTTATGGAGGCATTTTTTCAATTGTGGTTCTTTCCTCTTAGATGACTCTAGCTTGTGTCAAATTGACATAACACCAGATAGCACAACATATAACTCATTTGAATAGTGTCTATATTAGGTAATTTACTTAAATATTATGGCTATGCAGTCAGTAAGAATCCAAGTGAAGAAATGGTAGAATCTGATAAAACGAATTAATGAACAAGTTAGTTGTTAAAAAAAAAAAAAAGTCCTTAGAGCCGGGCCTGATGGAACAGGCTTTTATTCCTTCCTGAGGAGATAGAAGTGGGTGGTTTATAGGTCTAATGTCTAACGGGGCTACACAGTGAGTTCAAGTCTAGCCCAGATAATTCAGTCAGACTTAAAGGGAAAAGTAAAGGAGATTCGGGTCAATGGTAGAAAGCATTTCCTTATCTTTCGAGACTTTAGTTTCAACCTCATGACAACAAACAAGCTATCACACAGCCATTTGTCTTAAGAATGCTTCCTGACATTCTAATAATCTCTTTATTTATAATTACATTTTAAGTTTCATTCTCTCTCTCTCTCTCTCTCTCTCTCTCTCTCTCTCTCTCTCTCTCTCTCTCTCTCTCTCTCTCTCTCTCTCTCTGTGTGTGTGTGTGTGTGTGTGTGTGTGTTATTCTTCCTTCACAGAATCCCATGAAGATGGAGACTCCAGTGAATCAGGTGAATTAGGTGAGATATTTCAGCTTCAATTAAGTTACTGGGAATTATTTTGAATTATGCCTAGCAACTTCTGGATTACTGGTCTAGTATAATTTTTTTTTGCCATCATTATTATTTTATTTATTTTTATCAATTTTATTTAAATTAAAAACAATCTTATTTTGCATTCTAATCCCAGTTCCATCTCCGTCCCATCCTCCCATTCTTCCCCCCATCCACCCACCCCACCACTGATCCACCCCTCAGGGAGGCTGAGGCCTCCCATGGGGACCATCAATGTCTGTCACATCATTTGGGGCAGGACCTAGGCCCTCCCCTGTGTATCTCTAGGCTGAGAGAATATCCCTCCATAGGGAATGGGCTCCCAAAGCCCATTTGTGCAATAGGGATAAATACTGCCTCTACTGCCAGAAGCCCCATAGACTGCCCAAGCCCCCCAACTGACACCCACATTCAGGGGGCCTGGTTCAATCTTATGCTGGTTCCTCAGCTGTCAGCTGAACTCCTGGAATCCAATTGTAGAGAGGATGAGTGATGAGAAAAGGGGTGAAGACCATGCTGGGGAAACCCATAGAAACAGCTGACCTAGTATAAAATTTGTCTAACTTTTTAGGTTAAAAAAGTTTTGCCTAAGCTTTAAAAATTTCCTCTGCCCATTGTTCTATTTAGTTTTTGGTTCCACATTATAAAAGGTTCAAAATTGAAAAAATGCAAAATAACAATAATAATGTCAACAAAATAAGAAAGACAAGGAAAAAGAGGAAGAAAACCAATATTTGCTTTGAAACCGCTCTGTGATGTTCAATGTGAGGTTATTGCTTTCCTCTGCCTTTCTTTCCTTGCCTTGGCTGCCCTTATGACTGCACACCTATTTATTGTTTCCTGAAAGAAACATTTTGATTACTTATATTATCTCCTCCAATGCTAACTCAATAAAAAATCACATCTACAATGACCACAGCATGCCCCTTTTTGTCATCACTGAGGATGCTATAGCTGAATGGGGCTTGGTTGCTATTCTTGAGGTAACTAGAATCCAGTAGATGGGGAAGCTTGGGCACAATGAGGATCACTGTAAGAAAGTGGGCACAGAAAATTATATATCTCACAGCACAGGAGGAAAAGGAAGACCTCATTCATACAAGAGATGGCATAACCTATGGCTAAATCTATGCTTGCATTATAGTCTATACATAAATCCATTAGTCTTAGAAGGTTAAAAAGCCATATAGTTGAAGTAATATGAGGAGCTGAAAATGTGAGTTAGGGTGTGAAAGGAATTACGAATGGCACATTGATTTTCTACCCATCTTTAAGCAACAGACTTGTTGTGTAACAACCACTTTATACTATGATTTCTCTTAGGCACTGAGAAATATGATGGAATATGGGTGATTTCATATGTAACATACCAAGTTCAAGTTCTGAATAGATGGCACTATATAGTAATGGCAGCTGTATAAATCGGGAGAGAGAAGCAAAATGTCCCTTATTAAGTAATTATACACACGTAGGCAAGATCTCTGTCACCCTTTTCTTCTAGGTACTGAACCTGCTCACTACCTAATACCATCCACCCCAGTAAAACAATTTCTCATTAAATCAAGTCAATGGTAGATTCTGTGGTTATCTTTTTAAGTTCATGGTGATCCTTTCTTTATTTTTGATCTTTTCTGGGTATGTGTTCTTTCTCCCAAAAAAGTTAGTTATTTCCGTGCAGGAATACAGGAAATGAAGAACCAAGTTAAAGAACAAATAAGTCAGCATGGCAAGAAGGCTGAGAACTTCCTCAAAGGGAATGAGAAGCGCAGCAAAGGGAAAGGCCGAGGTGGTAATCGAGGCTCTGATGGTGAAAGCTTGAGAGGTCAGGATCGTCAGAGTGGAAATCAACAAGGAAGAGGGGGCCAAGGAGGCCAGGGCCGAGGTGGCCAGAGAGGCGAGAAAGGCCAGAGTGCAAAAGGTGGCCAGAAAGTACAACGTGGAAAAGGTGGCAAGAAAAACCAGCAGGGTCAGTATGACGACAGTCCTGGTGACCAGTGCAAAGGAGGACCAGCTGAACATGGCCTCCGTTGGTTCCCTCTCTCATGTAGTAAATTTCTCTTCAAACTCCCCAATTTTTCTCATTTGTCTGAGTTTTACATCTTCTCTTTTTCTCTAATATTCTTTCCCAGGTGAGTTCTGGCCATGGTTCTTCCTGCCTCACTCGCATCTACAAAGGCAGCAGGAAGTGTCCCTTCTGCCCTGTCAGAATTCCTCTCATCAGATTAGTTGAAGGTGTCTCTAAGTTCTCTTTCTCTCTCTCTCTTATTGTCTATCCTTATCTTTCTTCTTCCTTCACTTCCCCCCTCTCCTAGCTACTTTCTTTTCCTGCTCTCTCTCTCTTAATGTGTTTGTTTGTTTGTTTTGCAACAGGGCCTCACTTTGTAGCCCAGGCTGGTCTGGAATTCACTATGCAGTCCAAGCTGGCCTCACATTCAGTGGTCTTCACACCTTAGCCTCCTCAGTGCTAGGGTAACAGGCACATGGCCACCATGTGTAGCAATATAAAGTATTTTAATGAGACTACTGGATGGTGAAGGTTATCAGGCACATGCCATGCTTAAGACTGTTGGATTTCTAAAGTCCTTCTCTTTGTTTCAGTGAATGTCGGTGAATTTTCAGAAGAGTAAACAACTGGCCCTTTCTTCCCCCAAGTTCAGAGCATCAATAAAATTATCAGCATGAATACCTTGGCTCCTGTTTTCCTTCTAGGATTATGTTTCTCCATAGAGACTACCTGATCTGGGCTCTGGAGTTTCACAGACACTTAGATGTTAGTAATTTGTTGATGGCTTAACGTGCTTAAAAGGAAAGGGCAATATTTTTGCAATCAGTGACCAAATTATCAATACGCAAGCTTTTTCTTAGTTTAAACAGAAACTTATATTGTGAGGTTCTTTGACAATATTTCAATGCCCAAGTGTAATTTTGCCATATTTCTGTGTATCTTGGGTTTAAGAGAATGCCCAGGACTACCAGATGTAAGGGGTGGGGGAGCCCACAGCAGAGTCTTTCCAAGGCTTTCAGAATGAGCCCTATTTACATTTTGTAATTTTAGCACCCAGAACTATAAAAGAAAACTTTTGTGTGGTTGGAGCATCCTCTCCTCCCATTCAGTTTGGGGAACTTGGTTATAGCAGCTTAGAAAAAGTTACAGGAGAAAATTTATTTACCAGATGTTTTTCACGAATAACATAGAATATATACATATATATTTCTACCTCTCAAGTTTCCAAAAGGAGGGAAGGAGAAAGGGAAGGAGGATGAATGAGAGAGAGAGAGAGAGAGAGAGAGAGAGAGAGAGAGAGGGAGAGAACCGACTATAGGCAAGTCTCTAGCAACTGGTGGGCTCAATACAGTCATTGTAGGGACTGTGCTCCAACTAGATCATCACTTTTCAGTCTGCAGACACGTGGAAAGCAGGAAGTCCAGAAAGCAGAAGATAAAACTGAAGATTCCATTGGCTTCCACAAAGTTTTTTAGTATTTTGCTTTCAGCATTAGTGTTAATGAAGAAGTTAAGGCAATTTGGAATCAGAGCAGCCTACATACCTGGCTGTTTGTTTTTTCCCCTTTTACCCTGATCAACTTCTAAAGCAATCTGTTGGCTCTGCAGGTAGCCTTGGGGGAATTACATGATGCAAAATGCATGCAACACAGAAACTGGTGTTGAGGGTAGGAACCTTTGAAGCTGACTTAGGAAAGGATGAAAGGACAAACGTTGCCTTCATATATTGCAAGAATGCTCAGATCATCTACCCTGATATTTCCCAATTTTCCATAAGAACATTTGTCTAAAGCCTAGGAAAAAGTCGTAAGTAAGTAAAAATAAAGCTCAATACACTTTATAATGTCAGACATAAAATGTAATGGACATTGATTTCCTATGCAGTGAATTACTACCTAGTTGGACTGTGAAGTCTGCACAGTGAAGGTCATATCCAAACAACACTGCCTTATGTAACACAAAGTGAGAGAACAGGCAGGACATTCACAAAGAATCCCATCATGTCATACCTTTCTTTGTTTTGCAATAAGATCCCAGCTAAAGTTGATCTGTCTTCCAATTCTTCCTTCTACTAAAAGTTCTAGCTTTTATATTTTTCCTTTAGCCCCACCCTCAGAGAAACTTGCAGTTTGCTCACATTAAAACAAATTTCTTGATCAGGAGATGCTATTCCTCTGTAAGCACAAATTTACAGTATCGACGAGTTCATATGCTAGTTTGAAATGCTGGCAAAGCAATGCCTGATCACACTACTCCTTCAAAAAGCTTCTCATTGTCAATACAATGAACAACAAGCTCCAGTTCAATCAATCTGCTGTTCACAGCGTCTTTCCTAGTCTGGAACAGACTTCCATGTCTGGTCCATGTCTCTCCATCCCCACTGAAACCCCAGGATGCACGTGTAGAATTAGCTGTGCATTCTTCTCTGATTTCCCTTCCTCCTCCACAGCCCACACCACATGACAGCTCTCTGTGAGTATATATCCTCCACCCCAGTCACCACCCCTTGTCTTCCCTGCTTTGGGCTTTAATAACACATTCCTTATACAGCCAAGGCAGACCTGACTTTGATAAATGTATGGTCAAGGGTGACCTTGAGCCCCTGAGCTTCCTGCCTCTGTCTTTCAAGTGCTGGGGTTACAGGTTAGTCCCACCACACATGGCTAAAACACCTTCTTTCATTCTCTGTCTTATAGCTGTCATGATGGTGTCCAGGTACCACTGTCTGCTGTGTTCTGAGTTCCTAAAGGCAATAGCAATGCTTTTCTTCCCCAGTGCTGACAACGGGTCTCTGCCAGAGGTATTATTTCAAAATGACTAAAACTTACAGCTTGGAGAGATGTCTCGGAGGTTAAAAGTGCCTACTGCTCTTGCAGAGGACCCAAGTTTGGTTTCCAGTAATCATGTCAGGTGACTCACAACCATTTGTAACTATAGTTCCAATGGATCAAAAACCCTCTTCTGTTTCTCATGGACACCTGTACTTTTATGTGTATATACGGACACACATGTATATACATAAATAAAAATAACTCTTAGACAATGAAGACTATGTTAATCTGCATATATTCAGACATAGAGGCTTCATTCTTATCATTCCAACTGATTGGCTACCTTCCTGATCTGAGGTAGAATTACCCCATACCCACAGTAATGACTAGCCTGGAATGGATTCACAGTTGGTTATCTCTGTATGTTTTGTCTTATGAAATGAAAATGTGGTAGATTACAAAGGAGAGAGAGAGAGAGAGAGAGAGAGAGAGAGAGAGAGAGAGAGAGAGAGAGAGAGACCATAGCCATAGCCAAAACTGCCTAAGGACAGAAGAATTAGAATAACTAAATACCTAGCTATGTAGCCTTTGCTAGGCAAGAACTGTTTTGGGAAGAAGCCAAATACACACAAATTTCTGCTACTGTTTGGGAACCTCACTCATGGTGCCATGTGTTATTGGGGAACTAGGTTCTTTCTCAAAGATCTCAGTCTTCTTAATAAAATAATTTAAGAAAGGACTCAGAAAAAGCATGAGGACAGTCTTAGTAGAGTTTAAAATAAGAATTGTAGGATGGGCAAACTGTGAATCTCTGCAGCTGCCTAGAGGAAGGCCATGGAGAGGAAGTGAAAAAGGTTTGCTGCTTCTAAGCAGCCCCATGGTAGGTGGGGAGTAGACAGCTTCAAATAAAACAATTTAAAGAGCCCGAAGTATTAGAGAAAACACACTTAGAAAATACGACATAACAAACATTGCATCCTGAGGCCTTTGTACTTACTCTGTCGTCTTTTTTTTTTCTGATGCTATTTCTTCAGAGCATTTTATACTAATTAAATTGGAAATTTTGTTCTGTGTTAGCCAGTGTTCTCTACAAGAATGAGTGATTAGAAAGAATATATAGCACGACGGAAATTTATTAGTTTGGCTTCCATGTTATAGGCTGGACAGTCCAATAACTGAACATTGCAGAGACTTAGAACCCAGTAGCTGCTCAGTCTGTAAGTTTAGATTCCTTTACAGTTCCAGCATGGTATAGAAAGTCTGGAGGATTCTTGAAGGACTCCTAGTCTTGAGTTCATCTTGGAAGGCCAAAGACACTGGATGGTTATATCATTGAAGGATGGTGGCAGCAAGAGTAGATGGACTTCTGAGCAGAGAACAAAGGCTAGTGTTTTTTCCTCATACATCTATCTGGGCTGCCGGTAGAAAGTACAGCCTATTCTGAGGATGCTGCCAACTCTCTGCCTTAGTCAGTGTTCTATTGCTGTGAAGAGACACCATGACTATGGCAGCTCTTATAAGGGAAAACATTTAATTGAGGTAGCTTACAGTTTCAGATCTGTAGTCCTTTATGAGCCTGGCCTAAAGCATACATGCAGGCAGACATGATGCTGAGGAGCTGAGAATTCTACATCTGGATCTGCAGGCAGCAGGAAGAAGAGACCTCTGGGCCTGGCTTGGGCTTTTTTATTTGTGTATGTAATTTATTTATGAGTGCTCCATCTGCATATACACCCGTATGCCAGAAGAGGGCATTGGATCCCACTCTAGGTAGCTATGAGCCACCATGTTGGTGCTGGGAACTGAACTCAGGACCTCTGGAAGAGTAGTCAGTGCTCTTAACTGCTAAACCTTCTTTATAGGCCCTGGCTTGGGCTTTTTAAACCTCAAAACTCACCCTCAGTGACAGTTTCTCCAACAAGGGCACACCTCCGAATCCTTGAAATAGTGCCACTTGCTAAGCATTTAAATATATGACTTATTTAAACCACCACACCTTTTCAGTTAATCCTTCTGGCCCCCCATTCTCTACTCCAGGTATCTCTTTCAGTTGATTCCATATCCAATCATATTTGCAATCAAGATTAACCACAAATCCACCCCTTGTCAACTTGATATGCAATTCAATGCCATGTTTAATTTCCAAGTGAAGACAATAACAAGGTCATGATTCTGCCTACCATGACACAGCTGTCCAATGTATAGTCAAGAACACAGTCTCCCTTCCCCAGAATAAACAGCTGAGTCCCTTGAGAAGTGCTTAGCCTCTCAAAAATTAAATTTGACAACAACATGAGACAAACCTTCACTGTCTGTGTTTCTTCCAGCACTTTTATTTTCCAAACCTCTACTAGAATGATCCTTTAAGCACTGTTTACATTAGTTGAGTGTTTATAGTTCAATGGTACAAATTTTTGCACACTTCTTTTGCAAATAAGTTCCAAAGACTTAAGAACCATGTGAGCAGGTTTATGTGACCCCACTTCTGATACCACAGTCCATGTTAGTCAGAGTTTTCTAGAGAGACAGAACTGATAGAGTACACATATAGTACAAATATGGTCTATTGGTTTGATTTATATGATGGGCTAAGTCCAATGATACCTTCTGGTGTACTGTAAGACAGAGGACACAGTAGCTTTTCAATCTATGAGGATGGATGCCTCAGGAGTTTCAATCTGGCTTTGAAGGGCTTCAGGATGCATGAGAATGTTCTCTTCTTCAATCTGACTTTGGAAGGATTGAAAAAAATCTAGGTTCCAGTGTCAGCAAAGGATTGTGGTAGAAGTGACAGCAGCAAAGTAACTCACTATCAATCTCAGATCTTGCTGCCACAAGAAAGTGTTGCTCACTCTGGGGTGGAGGGGGCGGTGCTGGGGGGGGGTTCCTTCCATCCTTAATGAGTTCA